TCTTCTTCCTCTCATGTTATGTCCCAAACTTGTCGTTCATGGTGGTGACAAAGATTTCAAAAGTTAACTACCCAACTGCCTTCTCTCTGTGTCTCTGCGCCCGGGAGTGTGGTCCCCACAGGGACCTCGCCGAAACCCTCAGAGGAGGCACAGGGTCGCGAGCAATGACGTGGGTCCCCTGCAGCTCGCACCTGGAGGCCTCACCTGGAGCCGTACCTGTGCGGCCCGCACGGGCGGCCACTGCTTCCCCCAGGGGCGGCAGCTCCATAGAACCCGGGAGGCACCAGATTCCCCCGGGCAAACCTGAACCGTGAGTGTGTCCCCTCTTGTGCCCACGGGCTCGTGACAACCCAACCAAGGGGCGTGACGCCTTCGGCGGCTCCCGGGGGACCTGCTTCTATCGGCCCCGCTGAGCGGTCTCCTCGGGTTTTGTTCCCTCTTAGTCTGGAATTTCACTGGCTTGGGACGGAAAGGTGAGCGGAGGGGGTGAAGCGGCTGCGGGACACCTCCAGATGCGACGCGCCTGCCCCGCGCCCGAGAGCTCCCCTTCGCTCGGGAAAAGAAAAGAAGCCGTTTTTCTGCATGTAAATTTCAAATGCCACTTTAAAAAAAAAGCTAACGCTGCACATAACGCTTTCCACAGATGAACTCCCCATGGGCATCGTTTTTTTTTAGGCGAGGCAACCCTTGGTGGACCTCACAGACTGCAAGGACCCTGTCAGTCGACAATCCTTTATTTTTTAATACTTTTTACGCCTACAGCACCTGCTCTTCCTAGGTGGTCTCCCATCCAAGTACTGACCAGGCCCGACCCTGCTTAGCTTCCGAGATCAGAGGGTATCGGGCCGTAGGCCCCATGGGTATTCTTGACTCGTTCAGGGTGGCGTGGCCGTAGGCCCCATGGGTATTCTTGACTCGACTGCCCGATAATCCATCCGGATGCTTGTCCACCGGTTTCCCGCCTGGGACAGCGACATCGTGACTCTGCACTGTGGAGTCACACAGTCACCTGACACACGTCACTGCAGCCATGTTGACCGTGGCTTACTGCCGGCCGTGTGACTCCCCGGGGGCTCGCGGGTGCCCACAGACTCCACGGGGTCACCGCTGGCCACACCGCACCTCTCCCTGCCCACGGGGTGCCCTGGCAAACGAGACGTCTCGTCGCCGTGTGACTGCCTTGTGGTCCCGCTGGTGGTTTCCTGGGCTGGCCCTCTCGGCTCAGCCTGCTCGGGGTGGCAGGCTGGGGGCCGGGAGCTTCGACGGAAGCCTGCGTCAGCCGGCCAGGGTCCCGACGCCGTGGTCTGGGGAGGAGTCTGAGCGCCGGTGTGTTCGAGGTCCCCTCACTGACTCTGTTGCTGTGCAGTCAGGGCTGAGAGTCACTGGGCCTTCGGGTCAGCATCCTGCTGTCGCTTCCTGCTTTGTGACCTGGGACGAGTCGCCAAACTGCTCCAAGCTCCCCTCCTCTATAAATGAGGATAATAAAAGCCAGCACGGGGGAGTTCATTGCAGATGAAGCAAAACAGCAAATAAAATGCTAAGCAAAGAGCCTTGGGCATCGTATGTGCTCAGCGGGTGTGACTTCGCTGTGTTCGGGTATCGGTTTGTTCTATTTTCTCTGTTTACGTCCCCAGCCAGACCGTGCAGCCCCTCAACACAGAGCCTGCGTGGGGCAGGCGCTCAGCGAACTGGACGTTGAGATTCTGCTAAGCTAAAGGGGAATCACCGCTTTCGCCTTCTGGCCTAACCCTTTCCAGACCTTTCGTGAGGACGCTGTGTGGCTGGGGTCTTGCGAAGGTTCAGGACCTGCGACCCCCCATGTCCCCGAGGGTGTCTCGGCCCCGACCCCCGCCCCGTGCTTGCTTCCTTTAAAGAGCTGGAGGAGTGAGATTCTCACCACTCTTCCCCAAACGCTTTTCCCCGAGAAGGAAGTGACCCTGGAGGAACGTGCGTGCCCAGTGCGAGCCCCCGGTGGCCCGTGGCCGGCGGCCGGTCTCAGTGTCTTTCCTCTTGTAGTACGGCAGGTGCACGCTCTTGTCCGTGAGTCCCCCCATCTCGGCACCTCCCAACCGCAGGCACAGCCGGGACGGACGCCCACCACCCCACGACCCCACTCGAGTGACGAATTTCTTTCCCTGTTCAGATGACACTGTTGCTGTTTCAAACTGATAACCTCCTCGTTCCTCTTCCCCAAATCGAGTCGGCCGCTGCTCCTTCCCTGGCCACACACAAGGCCCCCAGCCGCAGGCCCCGCATGGAACGTTCCAGTCTCTGCGTGACCCTCCCCCGACAGCACCCACCTGCACCCGACACTACACACCCACGGCCCCGCCGCAGGCCACACCGTGGCGCTCAGGGCTGGTCCCCTTCCACGCCGGCTTCTGGAAGCTGGACGTTGTGGGTTCCGCCTGCCCAGCGCTCTGCCCAGCGACACTTAATGAACGTGTGAAACAAATAATAAATCAGGGAACAAATTAACCTGATTTAAAATTAACAAATCAACTTTATGAACTATTTAATAGGTTGTTTTTAAAACATACTTTGAAAACGTGAATCTTGAGGCAAATTTAAATTATGCCTTCAAGAATCGTCTAGGAAGAGGCTAATAATAAAAAATGAAAATGAAAACGTGCTCAT